ATAGCTCCAGGCAGAGCCTGGGTTTCAGGCATGAAAGTGGGAGGGCCAGAGGCAGGCTCACATAGGTGCAGTGCCGAGTTTAAGGGCAGGGTCCCTCAGGGTCATATTCTCAACTCTCACCTGTAGAAATGGAGAATTTGAGGAGTGAATGGGAGAGGAGCCTTGTTCAATATCACAAGAATCAGCCATTGGCATTAGCAATGACCGGCTCTGGGATGTGCTCTTCAGCAAGAGTGGGGAGGTCACAGTTAAATTAATATCACCTCGGCTTACAATCCTGAGGTCTAGCTGAGAGGCAGGTCCTTCAACCTGCCGTCTCCTCTTAGACTGACAGTTTTTCTTTTTGAGTTGGAGTCTCACTCTGTTGCCCAGGCTGGAGTGCAGTGGCATACTCACAGCAACCCCAGCGTCGATCTGCTGAGCTCCGTTGATCCTTCCACTTCAACCTTTCAAGTAGCCAGAACTACAGGTGCACGCTACTACAATTTTTTTTGAGACAGGGTCTCACTCTGTCACCCAACCTCTATAGCCTTGATTTCCTGAGCTCAAATGATCTTTCCACATCAGTCCCTCAAGTAGCTGGGACTACAGGTGCATACCACCACACCTGGCTAATTTTTAATCAACCTGCTGGGCTCTGGCAATCCTTCCACCTCAGCCTTCCAAGTAGCCAGAACTACAGGCACATGCTACCACGCCTGGCTAATTTTTTGATTTTATTGTAGAGACAAGGTCTCACCAAGTTGCCCAGGCTGGTTTCGAACCCATGGGCTCAGGCAATCCACTCGCCTCAGCCTCCCAAAGTGCTGGGATTACAGGCCGAGCCACTGAACCTAGCCAATTGACCAGTCTTATCCCCACTGTACAGATGAGAAAAGAGGCTGTGAGAGGGGCTGCTAGAGCTGGCTATACTGGGAAAGAGTTCCCAGTATGAGGGAGAAACTTGGTGACCCCTGGCTCTCTCCAGGTGCCTAGCATGTGGATGAAAAGCGTGGTTGGGGTGGGGCAAGCTCCCCTTGGGGGAGGTGTGTGAGGGCTCAGCGCTTACCTGTACACCCACATGCACCCAGGCTAAGACCCATCCTTCCACATGGCATGGCAGCTGGTTTTCAGCCCATGGACATAGAGTCAGACAAGCTGAGAACCTCTACTCACACTGTGGGTCCCACCTGATGTCGGCCCAAGTCCTGCTGGTCCTGCAAATGTGTCCATCTCTTACTCTCTCCTCCTGTGCCACAATGGTCCAGCACTCCTGACCCCTCTTCCCCATGACCATCCCAGCCTCCTCACTGTTCCCTGACCTGCACACTTACCCTTCAGACTACTCTCCACTCAGCAGCTAAGAGACCTTCACAGTGACAATCAGACCCTGTCAGCCTTGTGCTCGAAACCCTGTGCCCCCTAAAAAGGCTCCTCCGTGGCCCACAAGCCCTGTGGAAAGGTGCTTTGGCTTCTCCTCTGCCTGCAGCCAAGGTCAGAGGAGGTGTATGGGCTTGGAGGGGGGCGTGTGGAGACCTCACACATGCAGGTCAGATGATGCCCCCTAGAGGAGGGACTAGGACAGCCTGGGGAAGGGGGCTGGCTGCCCGGAGAAAGGGGATTCCAGTAAGGGGCCCAAGTTCCGTGTTACCTGTTGGGACTCATCTGACCCAGCAACAATGGGGTTGAGTTGCTGATGATGGTCTTTAATGGCTGTGCCTGGGCAGGGATGACTTCACCCAGGACGCACCCTAATGAGAGGAGGCTCCAGTCAGAAGCAGGCGGCTCCTCGATTACTATGGGACCTGCTTGGGCTTGTCCAGTCTGAGAAATGAGGAGGCTGTGTGCATTCATGTGTGTGTGTGTGTGTGTGTGTGTGTGTGTGTGTGTGTGTGTGTGTGTGTGTGTGTGTCTGGTCCCTCATAGGGTCAGAGGGAGAAGGTTCCCAGCCTGATAGAGGAAGCAGGGACTAGTAAAAAGACTCAGGGCAGCAGGGTAGGGAGGCCCACCTTCTGGTCTGACACTCTACGGCACCCCTCCGCAAACCTCACTTTCTCCATCTGCACAGGGTTGGGGGAACAGGATGATTCTGAGCCTTTCCAGGGTTCTCAGGTCTGCCAGGTCTCAAGAGTCAGATGGGAGCCATCCTAGGAGACCTCTGGGAGGAGGTGAGAGCACTGTATTCTGGTAGGGGCCAGAAAAAGCAGGGGAAAAGGTGTCAAAGATTGGGAGGACAACTCCCATCCAAAGGTTAGATATCAATATGCTCCCTCCAGAGATACCTGGCTCCCACATCAGGCCCTCTGAGTTCCACTGAGGGTTTGAGCATAGGGATACATGTCCCAGACATGTCCATACTAATGCAGAGGGCAGCCCAATGCAGGCAGAGTGTCGGGTACAGGCCTGAGTGCATCGTGCTGTGGCAGCAGCAGGGAGGGGGCTGTTGCAGCACAGGCTTGCTGCCTGCCACCACCCTGCCTCATGCATGAGGAACGACTGTACTCTGGGGACAGGCCCCATGGGGGCGGCAGGTAGAGCAATCCCCTCTCCTGAGGGCTGCCTGCCCTCCCCCAGGCTCAGAGCAGGACCACCCTGGGGGAATCCTCATCTCTTTTGTGGTCTCCTTGTCAGACCTCCTTCGAGGTAACCGTTTCATAATGCTCCAAGTGCTTCCTGGTGTTCAGTCTTAGTCAATCCTGGTATTGCACCTGATTCATTTATCAGAGGACAAGCTGAGGGCCCATTATCCTGCCACTCAGCCTGACATCACTGAGCTTTCCCTCGGGCATGTTCCCATTCCTGGGACTGCCCAGCCAGCACAGGAAATGGCTGCTGGATGAATGTACAAGTGAGTAAGTGTCTTGGATCCTCCTCCCATGAGAACGCAAAGTGGCTAAGAAGTGGATGGGGGGGTCCCTGGAGCCTCAGCTGAGCTGGAGGCAGAAACAGGGATCCAGGAGGCAAAGAGTCAGGAGAGCAACAGGACTTTGGGCACAGAGACAAAGCAGATGCAGTGCCAAAGAGTCAGAGGCCCAGGAGCTCAGGGAACACTGGTGTCAAGGGTCTCAGCCAAGGATGGCCCGAAACGAGCAGAGCCCATGAGGGGAGAGCATGGCAGAAGTAGGGCAGAATGAGAGGCACTCAGAGCAAGGGTTCATGAGGCAGAAGCCTGAAACCAAGGGTGGGAGGGCTGTGGTCCAGAGTAAGCATTGCCTAGCCCCAGGTCACAGAGCAAGGTCCCAGAGCCCCAACCACTCAGCTGTGACCTGGCCCTCTGTCCCCCCGCAGGGAACCTTAGTCAGGCATGGTGCCAAGGTGGGAATTTCTACAGATGAGGACACCGAAAGTCAGAGAGACCACCTGGCCTGAGACTGCATGGGAGTATGTGGTAAGTTTGGCCCTCTTCATGCACTCCCCAAGTCCTTGGGTTGAAGTCAGCTCAGGAGGTGGCTGCTGCTCCCACCCCCACCCCGTCCTGTGCTTGGGCACGCTGGCACTGCCAGGCACTTACTCGGCCTGTTGAGGGCCCAGCCCCCAGCCCAGCATCGGCGGGCTTCCCCAGTCCAGGGTGAGGGCAGCAAGAGGGAACAAAGGCCCAGTCTCTGCCTGCTCAGGCCCCCACCCCCTTGCCTTCCCCTGGCACAGAAGGACCAGGCCCCTGAGGGAGCCCGAGAGCAAAAGCAGCATCTGCCCCTTTGCCAACGCTGTGGAGAAGTCCCCTCCTGCCCCCACACAGGCCTGCTGGCTGAACAGCAGCGTTCCTCTGTGCTCAAGACAGGAGTGCTGAGTGGGAGAGCTGGAGGGCTGGCAGTCACACAGCTGGGATTCAAATCCAGGTCCCACGGTTGGCAGAACCTGCCCTCTACTCATCATCACAGGCTGAGCTGTAAGGGTAGTGACTGTTCTGGTCCAATGTAACAAGTGCAGAGATGGGGGAGAACAGAGAAGGTAGAGCTTCGGCAATCCGATCGGGAAAGTCCCAGCGAAGGAACCGAGTTGCTCTCACCCTTCCAGCCCTGCCCCACCCATCTTCCACCTGTGCTCATCACAATGTCCACTGATGGGCTAGAGCCAGGTGATCGGTAGAAAGGGGAACTGAATCAGCACCCAGAACCCCTAAGTCCCTGACCGGGCTCACCGGATCCAGTCAGAGCTGAGGGAGCCCTAAACACCGCTCTGGAGCCTCCATTTCCCAATCTGTAACATTGGGTTCTGTTGCCCACTGGGGGTCTCACCCAAGCTATGGTCACCATCCTTCTCCAGGCCCCTGCCCTGCTTCAGCCCAGGGCCTCTCTTTGGCACCACCTCCAGGGAGCCTGCATGGAGAGCTGATGCTCACCTTGCTTTGTACAAGACCAAACATGGCTGATTTCTCCCTGTGAGCCCAGACCCCCATCAGGACATGGATATGACATGCTCATCATGCCACAGACAGGCAAAGAACTCAGTATCTGGATGTGATTGGCCCATTTTACAGAGATGGGTACTGAGGCTCAGGGGTCTAAGGCCACCCAGCCCTTAAGGAGCAAGGCAGGGCTGATCTGCTCACTGCCCAGAGTTCGAGCCCACTGGCATCCCAAGGCCTGAAGGGCACAGTTAAATGAAGATTCCCTTTTCTAACCTAGCAAGAGAAAGGGTCAGGGCCATGAGGCTGCAGAGGACCAAGAGGCAATCTGGGCCATGCCCAAGTGGGGAGCCTTGAGAAACCAAGAATGAGTCAGGGCTGTTGTGAGAACGTGGTCCATGCAGCCTCTCTAAGCCTTGATTTTGGCAGAAGCCCATGTAGAAAGCCCTGCTGCTGGGGAAATGCCATCCATCCCGGCTTCAACCCAAAACCTTGGCTGCTCCTTCCCATCCATGGGGCACCCCACTGGTCTAAGATGTGCCCAGCAGATCCCAGGCCAATGGTGCACACAGAGCAGGTACTGGATGCCAGACAATAGCACTCCTTCCTCACCTTCCCAGGCCCAAGCCCTTCCCGGACACCACAACTCATTTTAAAGAAAAAATAATATTTATTTGCAATATAAACAAAGTCCCGTTGCTGGTTCGGGATATGTGTGTGTGTGTGTGTGTGTGTGTGTGTGTGTGTGTGTGTGTGTGTGTGTGTGTGTGTGGGGTCACAAATTTTCCTTCATAAGATCATAAAGCAAAACTGGCCACCCTCTGGCATACTCTCATTTACACAAATTTGATGCATCTTTCTGGGTTTTTCTTTTTAAAAATAAAAAAGAGAGAGAGAAAGAGAACCATGTACAGCACGGAAGCTTTTTGTCAATTTCTCGACTGCCCCAAAGAATCCCTGAAAACCACCCCTGTGAGGTAAGATGCAATGGGGGCAGAGTTTCTGTGGCCTCACTCACATGCTGAGTGCTGCTCCACCAGGGACCCTGGCCCGACTGCCCACCCTGCCATGGACCCCCATGCAGGCCTGACACCTGGTAGAACTGAGGTTGGAGAAGGAACAAAACTGGAGAAAGATAACGGAATCCGTGGCTTTGTTCTGTGGCGGGGTGGCATGGACAGAGCCTCACATCCCTCTGCTTGTCCATCCTTGCCCCACCTGCCCCTGCCTTAGGGTTTAAATGGGTGCAAGTCTCCTGGCAGTAGAAGGCATGGGCAAGATGAGGGCAGGGCAAACTTCCACGTGGACAAGGAGGCTGGGAGTGGCAGCTCTACCAAAGCAATAGCCAGGGAAAGGGAAGATCCTGGAGGCAGGGCTGGGCCCACACCACCTGAGCTTTTCCCCAGCCACTGGGCCTCCACTTCCAGTTACAGACAGACAGATTAGAGACAGAAGTAGTGGATAAGTATATAAAACAGTCCAGGGCCCAGGCCCCGCCAGGGGCTGAGCCCAGAGGGCTAATGCTACTGCTTGGCAGTTCCCTGTGGTCCACCTCTCAAAGGACAGCAGCAGGGCCCCAGGCTCCCAGATCCTCCATCTAATGCCTCAGGGAGGGGTGGATGGGAGGGTAGAAAATGCAAAGACCACCATCCAGCCCACCAATCACAACTTGCAGCAGTCAATGCAGGCAAATGCACAGTCAAGTTGGACTGAGCCAGGGATGATGGACAGCATGACCGGGGAACCTGACACTTGGAGAGCAGCAAGCCACCCCTTCAAGAAGGGCCCGCCGGAGAAACGGAGGCTTCACACATGTGCAAAATGCATTTGGTCAAGAACAACACAGGGTTTGTCTTTTCCATTAAAAACAAAAACAAACACGATAATTGCTTTTTGAAATAGAACGAAAAACAAAACTGAGAACTTCTCTCTCTCTTGCAGGATCAAGAAAGGGATGAAATACTGGTTTAAACAATCCACTGTTGCATGTAGTCTGAAAATAACACTTTTTGTTAAAAAAAAGAAAAATCAAGAAGAGCCTAAACACTCTTTATGCTCCAGGGAGCTTGGATTTACCTGCCAAAAGTAAGAAGTAAACTCAGGTCCATGGATGTGTCTTTAAAAAATAGCTAAATTGGCCAGGCTATCAGCAGAAGGGAGTAACCTGGGAAAGGATGAGGCCCTGCTGGTTGCCTGGAGCCACTTGTCTGAGAGCCGAGACTCTCCGGAGAGTCCTGCGATGGGAGGCCTTGCCTACGGGTCCTGCCCCCACAGGATGGTGCATGGAGCTTGGCCACTGGTCAGCTTGGGCATCTGGGTACAGGCAACAACTGTGGGTTCCTCAGACCAGAGGCAGCAGACTTAGGTCCTCCCACCTGGTCCAGTGGAGGGCTGGGCAGGGGCCGGTGCCGTATCCCCCTGTGGGCCAGGCCTCACGTAGACTCAAGTGTGTTGAGCGGGAATAGGTTGTGGTTGGTGGGCGTGGAGAAGTAGAGCTGTTCGCTGGGTGCATGGTTGTCGCATGGGCTGCTTAGCCCCAGCGTCCGCTCAAAGTCCAGCAGCTGCCCCATGAAGTTGAAGTTGGGCGAGATGTTGGACTTTTTCCTCTTGACAAAGTCGTAGGCATCATTGAGTGACAGGTTCATCTTCTGCATCAGATAGGCTACGGTGACCGTCACTGAGCGGCTAATGCCTGCCAGGCAATGCACCAGAACGCCACACTTCTTGGAGCGGGCTTCATCTGAAACACATGGGCAGGAGTCAGGGAGGTGTCTTCACCAAGAAGCCTTCCCACACAGGTAGGCAGAGGGGTCAGAGCAGGTGGGGCTGGGGCAGAGGGCAGCAGAGTCACTGGTTGGTCTGCAGATTCCTCTCTCCCACCCACAACACCAGCAAGAGAAAGGGTCAGGGCCATAAGGCTGCAGGGGGCTGAGAGGCAATACAGGCCATATTCAAGTGGACAGCCTTGAGAAACAAAGGGTGAGTCAGGACTGTTGTGTGAACATGGTCTATGCAGCCTCTCCAAGCCCTGATTTCAGCAGAAGCCCACGCAGAAAGCCCTGCTACGCTGCCTGCCAGTGCCTAAGAGCTGGGGAAATGCCTCTTTTTTTTTTTTTTTTTTTTTTTTTGAGTTGGAGTCTCACTCTGTCACCTAGACTGGAGTGCAGTGGCCACTCCCAGCCACCGCAGCCTCGACCTGCTGGGCTCCGGCGATCCTTCCACCTCAGCCTTCCAAGTAGCCGGAACTACAGGTGCACGCTACCACACCCGGTTAATTTTTGATTTATTGTGGAGATGAGGTCTCATCAAGTTGCCAAGGCAGGTCTCGAACCCGCGGACTCAGGCAATCCACTCACCTCGGCCTCCCAAAGTGCTGGGATTACAGGCTGAGCCACCGAGCCCGGCGGGAAATGCCTCTTAAGGGGCCTGGCCAAGCCTGGTGTGGGTGGGGAAGCAACTTGGGGTAGAGGTCAAGAGGATGGCTATGGAGAGGGCTCTACCATACTTTAGCTTCAAGTCACTGGACACCCCTGTGCCTCAGTTTCCTCATCTATAAAAATTGATTCTCAGTGCCCTCATAAAGACCTGAGCCAAGTGAAGGTTCAAAACCATAAGCTGCTGTAATGACTGTGACCACTGCTAGCCCTACCGCTGCTACAACTGTATGCTATAGTTTTGTTTTGTTTGTTTCTTTTAGTTAGAGCCTCTCACTCTGTCATCCAGGCTGGAGTGCAGTGGCACGCTCATGGCTACCACAGCCTCACACTGCTGGGCTCAGGTGATCCTTCCGCCTCGGTCTTCCAAGTAGCTGTAACTACAGGCACCTGCCACCACGCCTGGCTAATTTTTTGATTTATTGTAGTGATGAAATCTCACCAAGTTGCCCAGGCTGGTCTTGAACTCATGGGCTCAGGCAATCCTCTCACCTTGGCCTCCCAAAGTGCTAGGATTACAGGCTTGAGCCACCGCGCCCGGCATGTTACAGTTTTATCAATGGAGGAATAGACAAAGTGACAAGGCCAAGGCCCAACAGAGGCTCCTCCTATCTCAGCATCCGCAGCTGCCAGGCCATGACCTGGGGGTGGAGGCTGGGCTTGTTTTCTTGGTGCAGTTCCCATGAATACTCCCCAAGAGCCTCCCAGGAAACAGGCCTGAGGGAGGCTCCTCCGGAAGGAAGTGGATGACCCAGCCCTGCACTTGGCCTCTGCCCAGCCAGTCCCCAAGGTCTTACCTCCAGCTCCTGAAGACCCAGAGACTAGGACAACAGCCACACCTGAGGTTTCATAAGTGGGGTTTGCTCTAGTGGAGCCCATCCCTCCCACTTACCAGACCTTCCCCTGCAGACCCAATGACATCTTCCACCACAGCCAACTGGATTCGGCCAACCCTCCCAGCTTCCCCCAAAGCCAGCCTCAGATTCCTCTGCCTGATATATAGCAGGACCTCAATAAATACTGGTAAAGCTCTCAAACAACTTATTCCTTCAAGATCTCCTCCCCTGGGTCTAGGGCAGCTGCCTGTCTGTGTGCTATAGCTGACCCAGGGACATGGATTAACAAGAGGCAGCCCTGGGGTCTTATGGTTCCTCCGACTCTGAAGCCAATAGGAGCTAGACACACAGTCAGCACTCACTCAATGCCTTTCTATAAGATGACACATGGGTTCACAAATTGTTCTTCATTTCCTTTGGCCTGACAGAGCTTGCCTTCCTCATCCCCATCCAACCTAGGGTAGCAAGGACCAAGCATATAGCAGGTGCTCAGTTCAGACTCAGGGACTGACAAGGTGTTCCCATGATTAGGCACTGAGGGCAGGACTAACAGGGGAGGAGACAGATGTTACAGCTTTGTGAGTAACCATGTGGTCTGATCTTGAAATCTGGCACAGGAGAAGGGGTGATAGGAACAAGCCTCCAGTGGTGACCCGACAGGATATGAGGAAGGCCTGGCTTCCAAACCCACTCCCAGGTGGTCCACAGTGACACTACCTTCACTGGCTTTCTTTTTGGCCTTTTCAGGGTATGACTGGTGTTTGATCCTGTCTCACTGACTCCTATGGGATGCTTGGGCCTCAATTCTTTCGCTTGTCAAATGAGGAAAAAGGTCTTCCTACCCAGATGTGGACGAGCCTTCAAGAAGGATAAAGGTAACCACAAGCCAGGCTCAGCCTGGGGAATCCAGGCTCCCCTTCTCCACTCCCCTTCCTCATTGGGGAGTTCAAATGCTGAGGCAGCACCTATAACCCTCTTGGCCCCTTCCCTTTGGGGCAGGACTGGGAAGCTCCAGGCAGACCCAGTGGCAGCCCCTCCCCCAGGCCTCAGCTTCCTTCCTTCCTCCCAGCCAGGCACCTACTTTTGGTTCCCAGTAAGCGGATGAGGCGGGGAAGCCTCCCACTTCCTGTTATTAAAGCTAGCCCAGCCCAGCAGACACCAAAACGCCCTCCACTGGACGTAGCCGCCATCAGGAAAAAGACTGCCCAGGCCGCCCCTACCCTGCCACTGGAGGCTGGGCAGAAACATTGGGTCACCAGGCTCAGAGATGAGCACTTACATTCATCCTGAGCCCGTGTCCCTTCTCTGCACCCTGGGCCAGGGGCAATGACCTGTAGTCTAATAGCCTCCAGCTGGCCAAGGAGAAAGCAGGGTGAGGAGCCTGAGTCAGCTGAGACTGAAGATAGAAGGGACTCAGAGGGCCCTAAGTCAGAGAGCAGAGCACACTGCTCTGGGGGAGGCCTCTTTCAGACTCCTCCTCAACTTCTCTGTATAACTCCTATACTCCAAGCAAGTCCACAGGCTGCCAAGAGCATCTGGGGCCCCATCAAGGTCTTTGGGCCACCACATTTCAACAGCTGCCTGTTTTAAGTAGGCCTTTGGCTTCGGGGCTACCTTCAGTCCTCTTAGGTACACAGTAAAGCCCAAAGAGGCACCGTGACATCCCCATCCTAAAGAGACACATGTGCTGAGGCGTGATGCAGAGCAAGTGAGACCCGTGGGAGGTCTGTGTGCTGATGTTTCAGCTTGCTAAGCCCGAAATGACATGGAAGTCAGAAAAACATAAGTGGGACAGCAGAGAGCCCACGAGGTACCGACAGCTGGGGGGAGCTCAGGACTCAGGGCACTGCTCAGGCCCTGACAGGTAGAGGGGCCTGAGGGACTCGGTGACTCAGAGCAGGCATGGGTACACCCAAAGGCACATGCTGGCACATGCAGGGCTCACACAGGTCTCAACAGGCCCAGAGGTACCTAGTTGGGTATGGGCAGCACCCAGAGTCCCTTACACACCTTGACATGCCCACCCACCTTGCCCAGCACACAGCAACACCTACCAATGAAGCTGATGGCCTCGGGGAAGAACTGGGAGAGGTTCTGGCTCCAGTGGTCAGAGATGGGGATCTGCTTATAGGTGAACTCGCCGCCATGTTCAAAGGCGTTGGGCAGGTTGGGTGTGACATTGAGGATATACTTGATGCCGTACTTGCCGAGCACATCCAGGTTGGTGGAGTCCTTGGCGCAGCCGAGGTAGAGGTAGGGCAGGATCTGGACAGGGAAGGCTGGTTGGCTGGATGGCACAGGGCTACCGTCCGACTCGGTGGCACTGCTGGGCAGCTCTCGGTCTGACTCGCCATCCGAGCAGTCAGAGCTGATGCGCAAGCCCCCCAGGCCCAGCACTGAGGTGGGTGGTGAGCTGCTTGGTGAGGACGAGCTGTCCACGTTGGTCTCGCAGTGTTCAGAGTACTCTGTCTGGAACTTGTTGAAACCACCTGTGCCAGGATGAGAAGGGGCCTGGGTGAGAGGCTGGTGAGAGCCCAAATGGGCTGCATTAGACCAGCATGGACCATGCCAACACATGATATGTGTACCCTCTTTTGTGTTCTCTCCATCTAAACTATGACCACTTCACAGATGAGGACACTGAGGCACTAGGAGGTGAAATAAGATGCCTGCACTCCAAATTCTTACACATAACACTTCACAGTCCCCAGCTATACCACTAGTTTTAGGGCACTTGAGGACAGGCCCCAGCTCCTTTCTCTCCTGTAGCTCCCATGCATACTAGCACCCATGGGTGTTCAGTAACAGCTAAATAGTAAAGAAAAACAGACAACCCCATCTCAGGCCAGTACCTGTAGGTCTGCAAATCCCTCTTACAGATAAGACCACAGGAGCCAGAGCCACATCTGAGTCAATTAGAGGCAGAGAGGGGCTGGGCCTCTTGACTGGGAGTCTAGTGGTTACCCATGCCCCCAGCCACAGCTGGAGAGGGTAGTGTGAAGGTACTGGCTGGCCCTCTCCCCTAACAGGGGCAGGTCCCTGAAAGGGTTCCAGCTCCACTTCTCCTTAAAACACAAGCACTCCCCACTCCAGCCTTGGACCGGCAGTGGGGGAGGGCCACCGGGGCTATACAAGGACAGGAGAAGTGGGGAGCGCCTTGCAGCTAGGCATGGGCCCTGCGCCCGAGGGTGCCGCAGGCTCCCCTCCCCTCCCGCCTGCCCTGCTGCCAGCGAGAGGCCATTTTGGAATGTTAATTGGAAACACCGGCCACAGCCACTCGCCCCCCGGCGCTGCCTCCCCCTTCTGCAAACTTTGGGGCAGCAGGCTTGGGACCTGAGGGCCCCGGGGAGAACCATGCCAGGGCAAAGGACACTGCCTCTGCCCCGCCCCCGGTACCTCCAAGGGCAGCAATTCCTAGTGGTAGGGGCCATACTGGGATCCTGGAGACCCCAACCCAAATAGTCCCCATGTATTGGAGGCGAAGATGGTGCTATGAAAGGAGTCCTCCCTGACCCTGGCCTTCCAGGGACACGAGCTCCAGGCTGAACTTGGGTGCCCTAATGCTTTTAGGGTTCCAGGAGTCTTCCCTTCCCTCCTGAGGGGCTAAGCTGGAGCCTGGGCGCTGCTGTCACCCCGTCAACAGGAAAAAAAAGGAAACTCCAGGCTGGGAAAAGTTTGTTCCACCCACTCGAATCATGCCGAGAAAGAGGGCACAGAGGGAGCAACGAGCCTGCCAAATCCACACCGTGGGGACCGATCTCCAGGAGGGCGGATGCGGGCCGGGACGACGTGGCGCCCGGTTGGGCAGGCCAAGAGCGTGGAGAGGAAAGAGCCTCCATGGGGGCGTCAGGGAGTCGCGAGGGGGCCGATCCCGTAGGAGTCTCGGTGCTGTCCTTACCTTGGAGGTAGTAGGCCTGGCAGCCGTCGTCGCGCAGCTTCTGTAGGAGAAGGCCGAGCACGGAGGCGGGAGCGCCGGGCTCGGGCTGCCACTCGGCAGTGGCCTCGTCGTAGAGCAGCACGGTGGCCGCCTTGCAGCGCGTGGCGAAGCGCTCCTTGTCGGCGTGGTTGGGGATGATGGAGCGGATGGGCAGGTTGCCCTTGCGCAGGCGGCGCAGCATGAGGCCCGGGATGGCCAGGTTGATGGCAGTCTCGATGTGCGACGACTCGAAGAGCTCGTGCGGCCGGCAGTCGAGCAGCAGCAGGGACGCGCCGCCACGCGCCTCCAGCTCCTCCTGCAGCCACTCGGCGCTCTTGCAGGGCATGGCCCCTGCTCCCGTCGCCGTGCCCGCTCCGGTGCCTGCGCTGGACCCGGA